GTACGGAGTGTCGTCATGCTGGCATGTGTGGAAAGTTTTAAACCATGTGTGTTACATCTAGGCCCGCGTTAGTTTGTGCCTCGCTCACCACATCCTCCAGACATGCTCAGTTCATTCATGAGCTGCTGCCCTTCAGACGATCCCCTTCCGGAACAAAAATATATGGGATTACACTGCAAAATATAATGCAATATATTACATAATAACCTACTTGTCCACATGGTAAACGAGTGCTTAAATTTTCAATATACTGGAATATGCATTGACCATATGGCGATAAAACCAGCGGGCGGTGCATTTCACTATGCCTTCAGTGGTGTCCTACCCAAGGGCGCAGATGGCACTGGGGACGGGGGGGACATGACCCCCCCAGATTTATAGTGACCCGATCCGTCCCCCTCTCACTATCCCTACAAAGGGTGACAAAAATCGGTAAAACAGATGATTAACCAATGTTTTCGCTATATGTACATTAGCCAAAGTAGAGTGTCCCGGCCCGCCGCTGCTTCAGAATCGGGTCGGGGCAGACGCAGGCTGATCTACACCGGTCACCATTACTTTATGCCCAAGTTCTCACTACACGCTGTTCTGTTGTCAATAAACACACGATGCCTTCATGCCACCGACGTTTTACACTCTCTCTCTGTGTGTGTGTGTGTGTGCTACGACTCCTCCTGAGTGACGTCGCCAGGGTCCTATGAGGAGCTAGTAGCTGCCTCAATCGTGCCTGTAGGAGCGGACCGGTAACCATAGCGATCATATACCATCTATGACTGAGCTGAGTCGGTGATTTTCTGAACTGAACAAAATCGACTGTATAAATGCCACATAAAGGCAATGAAGAGACAAAAAACAAAAACAATCAACTCGGTTTTTTTTCAAAAAACAAACAATGTACGTATCCTATGCCTGTTGACTTTCCCAGATGTGGCAGATTAGATTTGTTAAGGGGAATAGCTAGTCTGACAATAAGGCTTTTGCACTTAGTAAACAGCAAAATGTGGAGACCATAACTATGCATTTAGGTGAATGGACAGAGACAAATAATGAATGAACACAAAAAGAATGGTTGGATAAATCAAACAATTTATCGTCGTCAGGAAATAATGTTTTATCTTATCATTTAACCCATTGTACTGTATAAATTGATGAGGTATGTTCACTGTCGTGTAAACCACTATAAGTAAATTTGTGTGGTGCAAGGTTTATGCAAACAACAAATAAAGGCCTACATAAACTTTTGACATCCTCTAATAGCAGGAAATCATGTTTTTTTTTATTGTACGGAGCAACGGAGGATATAGATTCGTAAATTATGGGCTATGAAAAACATTTCTTAATATGTCATACATCATTTGAAAGATATTTCTAATCTATAAATTGCAACAAAATTGTAATTAACACTTAAATTAAATTTTTTTAGTTATTCTTAGACATTTTTGAAATAGTAGTTTTAGCCATTAATTCTCGGGAATATGTTGTATTTCACATTGATATTCACATTCTATAGAGGTATAGAGGGTTAACTGAAATTATAAGATTTAAACTGTTGTCCTCCTGGCCTGCAGGCGATTTCTGATGACAGTAAGGCAGGCCCTAGTCAGTCAAGTGAGGATCTGCAGGAGGGCAGCCACAGTATAAAATATGTTGTTGTTATTTTATTTTTATTTTTTGCACATAGGTTCTTTGCTTTTTTTGTTCATAATGATAGACTTTGTATGCTGAGACAGTGGCGGTTCTAGCCCATTTCAACTGGGGGGGCCAAGCTGGGGCCAGTTGTACTGTTAGAGGGGCCAGTTACATTTAGACCTTATTGCTGTCCTATCATTTTCTGCACTACTGCAGGCATTAACAGGCAAAATACCGTGTTTATAATCATTCAACAATGTATTTGCATTTCCATTATATTTTTACATTTGCATTACATATTCAGTATTAGTCACAGTAACTGTAATAGACATGATGTCCTTCTTTCTCTTCATTTTGAGAACTATAGAGAAAAAGCAATGGGGACCAAGAAGCTTATTAATTCATTTACTGAAAATAACTGACTTTCTAGGTAACTACGTCTAACCGTTTACAGGGTTCCTGCACACTTTTTAAAGTCAAATTTAAGGCTTTTTAAGACCTAAAGAAATCAAAATTAATACCGTACATTAGGGGTGTGCAATATTGACAAAAATATATTTCAATATTTTCAACGTTTTGTTGATAATAATTAGATGATATTTTACTGATTGTGTTTTTGTGCTGGTGCCATGGCTGGTTTAGGCCTGTTGTTGACAGCTGACTCACGAAGATATTCATATTTTTCATATTATATGGTCAGTTCACAGCAGTGACCGAAATAATTTTTTTAATTAAGGGGCAATATTTGCCACCTAAAATTGATTTCCAGGGTAATTTTCACCTATATATGGACATTTTTCTAAACTTATTTAGAGTTATGCATCACCTTTTATGTCAAATACTAACATTCAAATTATACAATAATTATACTTATTTATACAATAATCCTTAATTATACAATAATTATACAGTACCACTGCTACCAGTCAAATTAATTAATTCAATCAAAATCCATCTTTGCAGTGCAGAGGTGACACAGAAGTGGCATTAATATATTTACACTTCCTTTACAATAGCATAAATAAAGCTATGAGATTTTTTTTAAATCAATATTTAAATATGAAATGATTTCTAATTTTAACGTTTTAATTAAAGGATACTTTAAATATGAAACTAAAACCGCCAGTAGGCGGCGGCAAGTCCCTGTAAGAGGGATTCATTCATTCAAACGATTTGTTCAAACGGCTGATTCATTCGGGAAAGAAGCAAGTGATTCGTTCAAAACGCGGATTTCAGACTAGTCAATAAATCATCGCTGTGTTGCATTGAGACTCTGCTACGGTTTCATTATGAAATTCTAGTCGGCGAAATAAAGGGAAAACAAACAATATTGACAATATTGTGTCTAAAAAGTTCTCCCAATGTTAGGCTAACTTATTGTTAATTTAACTGTTGTATAACATAAATATCACAGTTGCAATTGTGCACGGGAAAACTGCACCCTTGCTGATGTGATATTCTAATATAAGAACATAATATGATATAAATATAAGACAAAAACTAATTTGGGGACATAGCCTATATGAACTGCACACAGCAGTGAAAGGACGATAGACAAATGCGATGTCACCTCACATTCCCTCATACATAGTTAAAACAATGATTACAATATCATAATAGACAATACACATCGCACACCCCATACGCACATAAAGAATTAACTTACAACTGAACTGACATTTACCAATTTTCTCCTTCTCTCCTCTCTCGCGTGCAGGAGACAGGCGTTATTCTGCCGCGATTCCCGGGAATGTGATGCGAATTGTCACGTGAAAATGCAAATCCACAAAGATAGAATAATAAATAGAAAAAATAATACGCATACAACGATAACAACGATAGCAAAAAACAGTTTTGTAAAAAATATTTCAAACTCCACATTTAGGGGGGCCACAAGGGGGGCCAAGCTTTTTGTCACAGGGGCACTGGCCCCCCCTGGCCTCCCTCTAGAACCGCCACTGTGCTGAGATAAGCAAATGTTTAAATAAAACATACTTTGCTGAATACATGAAGATTTGGTGGGTGATTGGCATACTATCAGGCCTTTGTTTACCTTTGTTCATTGTTGTTTATCCATGATTTCAAACAAGAATCCCCCAATGGCTTTTTAGTGCAAATCATTAGCCCAAATTACATAAAGAAACTACTTGAGCACTAGTTAAAGCCCAAATTACGCAAAATAACGAATTGAGTTTAAATCATTTGCTGACAGCTTGGTCCCCCCCAGTTAAAAAATCCTATCTGCGCCACTGGTCCTACCTGAATCAATCCACCGCTTAAAAGCGCTTTTAGTAGTGTAGCGCACAGAGTCCTTATAATTGTTGTATAAATTGGTGTTTTATTTTGCACCGGCAGCTATAGGGTTAATGCGGTGAGTTCGGAAAAGGCCGAGTAGAGAAACGAGTGAGTTCTGGTGTTTGTGTTCAGTTGTTTTGCGTTCCGATTAAAAAGTTCAGAAATGGAGCCTCCTTTCTGTCGTTCTTCTGATCATACAATAGTATGCATGTTTGGGAAAAAAAAGTTTAAGAAGAAAATCATATTCAGCACTGAAAAAACGGGGACAAACAAAAGCATTATACTCACCAAAACTACTGATTATTTTTACACCAAATCCATCCTTATTTCTTTCCTCAAGAAGGCTTCAATTTCTGTTGTAGGCCTACAGGTTATCTGTGCGTTTCAGTTCCAACAATGAGTCTTTTCTATCGAGGCTAATGCTGAAAGTCGAGTCTGTCCAGTCATATTTCTGGCATAAGTTTTAATTTGCTTTATGGTTGAGAATGTCCGCTTGACAGAGGCAGTAAACAGGGAGTCACCGCCAAACATGACGATGTGTAAAGCTGTCCATGCTCTCACACAGGTTTTGATGGAAATCAATGAGATCAGCGGGACATTTGCCTTCATAATCAGACATGGCATACAATACAGTCAGTTCTGTTCTGACAGATCAAATAGTGTGCTGTGACTTTGCATTAAACTGGATAAGGCTGACTAAGGGATTTTTTATCCGGTAGGTTTGAAACTGTTGGGGGTCGAGGAGGGAGAGAAACATTCATTTAAATTAAATCTTCAGGAATATATTTTAGTTTATGCAGATGGTAGATGGCCCCGGTGCAGTCAAATCGAAATCTGATTGGCTGATTAAATCTGACTGATTATCTAATTGGTTAAACAACAGTTTCATTGCCATTCATTTTAAGCTACAGGTGCCGCACTATTGATTCTGAAGGCCTCGAGGCAGATTTATTTGACCCTGGCATGATTGGATAGAAGCTCTAACATAAACATACACTACTGGAAGCAGCACAACCAAGAGTCACACTGTCACACTGTTTGAGTCTCTTAGTTTGTGTTTCTGTGTTTCTTCTCAGGTTTACCCACATCTACAGTGACTGTGACACCAGACAGTGCTGTATCCACTGGAGAAACAGTCAATCTGAAGTGTGTGATAAACTCTGATCACAGTAACTGGAGATATGAGTGGTATAAAGACAGTGTAAAGTTACAGACGTCTGGTTATCGTTACACTGTAAACAGAGACACTGTCACTATCAGAGGAGCTACTGAGTCTGATCAGGGTCAGTACTGGTGTAAAGGACAGAGAGATGGAAGACCAAACTCATCAACATCAAGCTCTGCTGTTTCTCTCTCTGTGAAGGGTGAGTTCAACATCATTGTCCTCTAAACTCTCTCTACTTGATCATGATCACACATACAATCCAGAGACTTGACCAGTGGGTCACATGACCCACAGGCGGGATGTCTGCCATTATATATTTTAAACAATTATATCTTAGTGAAAACAAAGTAATATTGACAAACTATTTATCAGTTGAAAGCTTGCTGAGCAGTAATTTATCAATTTGCAACTAGAATATTTAATACTCATAAGGCATGTTCAGGCCTTTATTTTGAAATATGAACATGGAAAAAGACTGGTAGAAACTCATTGTCAAGAGTTCAAAAGATAAAAGCAATTAAATGTTATGAGGAAAAAGGGTCTGAAAAGGTTTTAAATATAAAGAAACAATGTATTTCTAATATATATATTAAGAAATAGCATGGATTTGTGAAGCGGTGGCGAGCTATAACCAGTGTTGATTTTTGCAGCCATTTTTGATTTAGTCTTAGTTTTCATCTTCAGACGAAAATGCTTATTGGTCTTAGTCACATTTTAGTCATTTTGTCTTTCATAGTTTTAGCCTAGTTTTAGTTGACGAAAAGTCATTGCATTTTTTGTCAACTTTGTCATTACTTTTAGTCAAATTTCAGTTACCGACATTAATTTTGGCAGCTATTTTATATGTAGTTTTTAGACAAAAAATGTCATAACAATTTTTCTCTCTAGGCCAGTTCATTAAAGCTGCAGTCCGTATCTTTTCCTCTTTGTCGCCATCTATCTGTTCGAAATCTGTAACTGCAGTGATTCGCGGAATTATCATCTTTACGTGGGTTGTAAATCGGCATGAAACAGCGCGGATGAACACAGTGTTTTGAGGCGAGTGCTGCTGTCAGTCACGCACTGTGTGGATACTGTCATACAGAATCACAGATTCACTTTTTGAAAGTTTGACCAACATAAGAATTTTCATAAGAAAATGTCTTCTGAACAAGTAAGTAAAATCCATTTTTGTTCTGACCAACTAAGGGGGAAAAAGCATTCGACATGATAAGCTTCGTTAGATTTAATCAACGCGATTTACAGCAACCGTGCAAATTATAGCCTACTTTGTTCTCAAATTGTTCATGTTAACAACATCAGCATTGCGTGACTAATGTTAAATTTAATGTGTTTTATGGTTACCTGTGTAGTTCAGAATTCATATTCTCCATAATAGCAAAACGAGAAAGGCACAACCAAGGAAACTCCATAACTGTGTGAATTAAGAAAACGTACTGTTACACGATTGAACTATTGAAATGTCTTAACTTACTTGTTCAGCAAAAAAAGGCGTCTCTTCTTCGGTTTGAACCCCTTCAAAACACGGAGTTCACGCACTTTTCAAAAGCCCCGCCGATGTTTAAATCCTTGTGTTCGCATGAGACAGTTTCTTTCTCTTTCTCTAGCCACCTTAAATCCGAAGTACGAAGTCTTTTGGGTTTTATAACTGCTGAATCTTCAGTTGACACTGATGATTGTTGTTTGGATCTTTCTGGATGCCATAAGTTTAATCATGTAAAGTGCTGCGAGAAAAGCCTATACATCTAAACATCTCGTCACGCGCAGTATAGCCGGCTAGCCGAAACTCCTTCTTTATGTGTACGGGTGTGACGTAATGACGCAAAGACATGCTCGAATTTCCCGCGGAAACCCACCAGTACCACTGGAATTAAAATCATTATTACAAGCTAACCGTTTTGAATCTAGCTATGGCAAGCAGATAGTTTTGACCACTGGCAGAATACGTTTTTTTTTAATATAATTATTTTGGATTATTTTTAACTTAAAAAAGTTACGGACTGGAGCTTTAAGCTTATGAGAAATTTGAATCAAGGTAACAGGCTGTATTGACATTGCACTCTAGCATTAGCACTTGTGCAATTCTACATATCCCTTTTCCTTAGTTCAGTGGTTCTTCAATTTTTTTTTAGAGGGCCGTAACCCCTCTTCCAAGACTGCTGTCACACCTTTTCCATTAAAGGACAATATTTGCCCTCTTTAATCGATTTTTCAGTTAATTTTTTACCTTTGTAAATACCTTTATAAAACAAATAATGCTTTAAATAAAACAATGTTCAATAAATATGCAATGATGGTAAAAACGAAGTTATACGTTTAAATATTAAATTAAAATGGCCAGTAGGTGGCGGTAAGTCTGTCTATAGTTTATGAGTGAGTCATCGAGCCATTCATTCATTCAGTAACGAAGCAAGTTGCTGTACTTATGAACGGATCATTGAATCTCACGATTCGTTCAAAGCCACAGATTCGTTCACGAATCACCACTGTAGTTCTGCTGTGGCTTTTGTTGCAAAATAGAGCAATAATAGCCTACTGACAATACAGTTTTAAATGTACTGTACATCACTTAATGTTACCCTTTTGTTTGTTGAACTATTGTATAAAATCAATGTCACATTTGAAATCGTGTGTATATTCGGGAAACGTGGCATTCTTGCTCGTATAATGATCAACATTAAAAACACTGCTGGATATCCTGCATTTTGACCGCAGATTTAGTCGCGCAAACAGCGCAAGCGGCTAGTGACAGAAAAAAGTCTGAATGACACTTTAATTTAACCCTCAGACGGTCTTCGTTTCGGAGTCACATCCTGGGCCTTCCCGGTCAGAAGTGACCGGACACCTAAAAATGAAATTTCCTCCATCCCAGTAAAACCAATGCAATTTATTTTTGTTCTATAATATTTATTCTTTTTAATTTAGTATTTTGAGACAATTTGATTTAACTTATTAATATTTATGCAATATTTATGGTCCATTTTTTGCCTTTTAAAATATTTTTATTTTATTTATTTTTTATGCAGTATTTTCTGTTAAAATAGAGACTAGGTTTTCAGAAAAAAAATAAAAATAAAAAAAATCAATCAATTTATTAAACATAAAATTAAATAAATCACGTTATTGCATGGGTTTACCACTAGATGCCTGTAAAGCTCTAAATGGAGATGCTTGTGAATTCTAGTTGTTTTTGGACCAAATTACTTACTTTTAAGATGTGGATTGAATGTATTTTTTTTAGAAATTCTCAAATAATACTTTTTGCCAAGGTTTACAACATTTTATGAATTATTATTTTAATAATTTTAATAATTATTATATTAATTATATATGTATATATTATTTATAATTATTAATTATGTTATGTTTTTCACTCTTGATGTTTAAGAGTTTCACCCCTTCATTGCTGAGCACTTTTTTTCTTCATCGTGGCCGATTTGTAGAGAATTTTTGTGTTTTTGTCAATTTCCCATTCATTTCCTATGGGGGTCATTTTTGACCGAAGACCAAAATCGTGACTAATTTTTACGACCACTTAGCATGCTCGGATCATGACCTCAATTTTTTTGTGTGTTCACATACATAATGCCATAAAAGTTACCAAGTTTCGTAACATTCCGATGAAGCTGTGATTTTTAAAAATTCAAAACATACTTTTTGTAATCAAAATTTATTGGTGTGTATGTGTATAAAAGTGTGTTTGTATGTGTGTGTGTGTGAGGGTGGGTGTGTCTGTTTTGCACTCTAGATGTAGTAGAGTGTCACCCCTTTCCTGCGGTGTACTTTTTTTTAGAATTGTGGCCGATTTGTAGATTGTACACACAAAATGATGTTTTAGAGTTTCACCCCTTCATTGCTGAGCACTTTTTTTCTTCATCATGGCCGATTTGTAGAGAATTTTTGTGTTTTTGTCAATTTCCCATTCATTTCCTATGGGTCGGTTATTTTTGACTGAAGACCACAAGTGTGACTATTTTTTTTTACAAGCACTTAGCATGCTTGGATCATGACCTCAATTTTTTTTTGTATTCACATACCTAATGCCATAAAAGTCACCAAGTTTCATAACATTCCGATGAAGCTGTGATTTTTAGAAATTCAAAACAGAAAATTTTCCGGTCATAAATGACCGAAGACCGTCTGAGGGTTAAGTAAAAAATCTCAAATGAAGATCGCTGAACTCTGTTTTTATAGATCATCCGCGCTTCTTCAGCATGTAGAGAGAGCGCGCGCGCATGGTTGCCAGATAGGCTACTATTGAAAAGACCGGGTAGAAAACGTGTTATTTTAACAGAAAAGCTCTGACTGGGGATCTAAATTATTGAAATATGGCAACCGTAAGCATGAACGTTCGCAAACACAGTCTGTAATGTGTTGTCTTCTCCTTTATTCGACAAAAACAAGTGGTTTTGCTAAAGTTTTTTTTTTTTTTTTAACCCATCAGTCTCGTCTTTTTTCGTCAACGATATTGCATGTGTTGATATAGTCACAGTTATCGTTTAATTACGTGGGTGTCGTCTCTCATCGTCTAGTCTTAGTCAGGGGAAAAAAGGTCGTCAACGAACATTTTTCGTCATAGTTTTCGTTAACGAAATTAACACTGGCTATAACACACATAGCTTTTTTTATGTTTCACTTTCATTATTTTCACTTCTACAGTAATCTTCCAAATGTCTTCTTTAAAACAAGCCTTAGGTCTTTATTCCAATACTTGAATTACAACCATTTAAGTTTGGATAGTGATTTTCATCTCTGTGAGATAAAAGAGGAGTGACAGTGAAGAAGTGTGTAGTTCAACTCTTTTCTTATGCACTTCTGTATCAGTCACATCTGTTCCAATAAGAGGACTGAATGATTATTGTAGTGATTTAACCCTCTGGGGACCAAAAACGCACCCGTGCGTTTTGGCAGATTTTTTTTTCACATAGCATAAAATAGACTTAAACTACTCCATCATTTCTGGTCATACAGAGTTAAGACATATTAAAAAATAAACTATTAAATGTCTACTTTTTTATGTGCCCACCTACAATCGAAATAAAATATTGTGCTTATGTAAAATAAATAAAATAAACAGGGTGTGCGTTCTGCCTCTCCGTGTCCGTGAACTTTTTTTCTGGAGCATGTCTCTAAACTTAAACAAAACTCAGCGAATACTATTCACCCAGACATGAGCAATATATGTTTATGATCATTTAAGTTTGTACTTTTTAATGATCTAATTTAAAACTAAAATAAATATTCTCTGTTTATGTAATCTATATAAAAAGAGAGAGGTGTCAGCCGTTCTCATTATCGTTCTCTCAGCTCATTATTCCGCTAATGTGACACGCCCACGGAGAGCGCGCGCTATTCAAACGCTAATGATCTGAAGCAACACATTGTGACGTGTAAACGCCCACACAAACTCGGTAAACACACTATATTTAGCCGGATTAATGTACTGTCATCTTGCGCGCCTGTGAGGAATAATCCTGGGACATTTACCTCAGAACAAGTGCTGGTTTATTTTCACTTCGAGGAGCGAGCTGAACTGTAAGTGTTTTATTCTTGTGCTTTGTTCTAATCGCGATATATAATAACGTTAATGTCTGTAAACGCAAAAATAGCCTACTGTTTAAATTTGAATCATGTTTCTGTGTGTGTGTGTGTGTGTGTGTGTGTGTGTGTGTGACTAGTTTTGAATAGATTATAAAGTTTTAACTCTAAAATAGACATCAAATAAGCTTTTGTTAGCAGTTTCTGCTCATATGTTAAATATATAGTATGTTTTGTCAATAAACTAATCAACTAAGTGTTTGTTCCAATGCAAGCGATATCAAAATAATGAATCCTTAACTTTGAAATATATGTATGATAAAATGTATTGGCTTACTAAGACATTTATGGAAAAAGACTATTTTCTTTTCAAGATGTTTCCAACTCTAACTTTCAACCAATTCTGTAGAATGGCCCATATAACCTTTTTGAACAGGATTTGTTTCCAGGTATGACTAAAAATGTGCTTTTGACTTTCATTTATATTTTGATTTTATATATATATATATATATATATAGATATATATAGATATATATATATAAATATATATATGTGTGTGTGTGTGTGTGTGTGTGTGTGTGTGTGTGTGTGTGTGTGTGTGTGTATTGTCCTTGCATTCTTTCTTGTGTGACACACCTGAATGAAAGGCTCATTACTATGTGGGGTCTTTGTCTTCTCAACCACCTAATTATTCACAATGAGGTTGGGCCATTCACGCCCATTCGCATATTGCCTTGGATAACAAAAAATGTGTTTCACAATTTAAAAGAATCTATTGTGTTATGTGAATGATTAGAAAGGATGATTTTCAGATCATTTTGAAGCAAAAACTCTAGACCACACCTTCCATTAGTCAAAAGGCTTGTGGACACATATTTAGTATGTGTTTTGTGGCTTTATTTTAGAAACTTTAAATTTTAGTTTTTTCAATAAGCATGCATAAACAATATTCTCTCAAAATACAAACATGTACATACATATTGCTCACATATTATGGTAGCCCTGTTTGTGCTAAATATAGTGTAATTTCACCTTTGCCATTAATATGTTTATAAGCAACTGAAAAAAAGCACAAATGTCAGGGCATGTCAAAACATCTCAAGGACCCCAAAAACACATTGGTCCCCAGAGGGTTAATGCTCATTTATTTGACTCTCGAGGATCTGAATCTGTTGTTGTTCTCCTGCAGATCTACAGTCGAAGCCTGAACTCACATCAGATCCTGCAGGAGCTGCACTGACTGGAAACACAGTGACTTTGACCTGTCGCATGGATCCGTCCACTAAAGACTGGGACTCTTACTGGTACAAACACACACTGAACCCTGAGACAGAGAAGAAGAAAACACACTCCTACAGCCTGAAGATTGATTCAGTGTCTGATGGAGGCCAGTACTGGTGTAGAGCTGGAAGAGGGAAACCAGTCTATCACACACAATACAGTGATGCACTGTGGGTAAATGTTACAGGTGAGAGAGACTGTAGTGTGCGATGCAACAAATACAGATCAGACAATATCTACACAACTTCTGAAACTATAAATGCAATAATCTATGTTTGTACAGTGAGTCCTAAAGCTGTGGTGACGGTACGACCTGATGAACGAGTGTTTAGAGGAGAAACAGTCACTCTCAGATGTGATATAAAGTGGTCAGGAGACACTGAGTGGACATACAGATGGGAAATAGAGGGAACCAACAACCAATATAAAAACACTATCAGCCGAACCTCAACACAAGAGTTGATCATCAGCAGTGTTGATCTCTTTCACAGCGGTAAATACACCTGTACAGGACAGATACACACTCACAGCTCTCAGCGCAGTGATGCTGTTACACTGACTGTATCAGGTGAGTTTGTGTGTGTTGTGATCAGCTTCTCCATCAGTTTCTCTACGGCTCTGTAACTCATGATGGTTTGTTCAGCTAAAGCTCAGGCATCACTGCGAGTGTCTCCACAGCCGTGGCTGACTGAAGGAGAATCAGTGACTCTGATCTGTGAGGTTTCAGGCTCCTCTACAGGCTGGACGTTCAGCTGGTTCAGAGATCATGATCATCTGTCAGACAGCAGCAGAGGAGCTGGAGGATCTTACACTCTCAGTCCTGCTGCTCTACAGCACACAGGAGTTTATACGTGCAGAGCAGAGAGAGGACGACCAGCCTATTACACACACAACAGCAGCTCACACACACTGTGGATCACTGGTGAGGGTTTATGCTTGTGCTCATCCGCATCTGTGTTTCACTGCAGTCTCTGTGCTGTCAGTTCTGATGGAGATTTTCCTCTTTTCAGGAGTTTCTGCTTCAGTGTCTCTGGTCATCAATCCCAGCAGAAGTCAACACTTCTCCTCTGACTCTCTCTCTCTGAGCTGTGAGGGTCAGAGTAACTCTGCTGGATGGACAGTGAGAAGATACACATACAACGACACACAAACTTGTGCAAAACAAACAGGATCTCGATGTGTAATCGACTCTCTCAGCACATCTGACACTGGAGTGTACTGGTGTGAGTCTGAATCTGGAGAGAAACGCCGTCCTCGAAACATCACTGTACATGGTGAGTCCAATCACGCTTACAACATAATAATGTTTATAATCAATGTATGTTTTCTTATGAGATCAGGTAAGACTACACAGGACTATTATGCTAACTACAGTATTTACAGTATTAAACACACATATCTTGTGTTTGTAGACGGTGAGGTGATTCTGGAGAGTTCTGTTGATCCTGTGATTGAGGGAGAGACTCTGACTCTACACTGTTTACATCGATCTACAAACTCCCCGATCCTCAGCGCTGATTTCTATAAAGACGGATCACTGATCCAGAATCAGACGACAGGAGAGATGAGCATCACTACTGTCTCAAAGTCACATGAGGGTTTCTACCACTGTAAAACAGAGAGAGGACGGTCTCTCCACAGCTGGATCTCAGTTACTGAAGTCTTTAACGGTGAGATGATTTTATTTTATTCATGAGCATCTGATGAGATACGCCACACTATTAATATATATGTGTCTCTGTCTCTTATTTCTGCTGGAGGACAATCAGTTATTGTCAAACACAAAGTTCTGTCATGAAACTCTAGATGGCGATGGTGGAGAGGTCTTTAACTCAAGCATTCTGCAATCACATCATTCTCTATAGGGCAGAGCTGATTGGTTCCTGCTGTATCAGTAGCCAATGAGCTCGCACGCTTTCAGAAACCCTCCACCTTCCCCAGCTCCACCTGTATAGATCTGCTACGGGTAATTCATATATTTTGTACAGCAGCGTAGAAGATCTATTCCTTCAAGACCAAACATATCAACACTGTTATATCCATTACCATGCCCAACACAGAGAGTTCATGACAGAACTGTTTATTGTTTCACATAACTCACATGAACAAAAGTAGAACTATACAATCACATGCAAAATATGCTGAAATATAGTGAAATCAACACCTTATAAACAACATCCCACAATTAAATGAAATCAAGAGTGTTTTAGCTACAGCATTATGATCACATCAGATTAATAGAGATCAAAATCTGACTTTGAATATAAATAATAATTAGTTTTTCATTTGAACGCATATGAAAATAAGAATCTTTCCTTGCTGCTTTCAGGGTCAAACATAGAGTTTTGGTCTGAAGAGGGAAAAAAATTCATACCTTTTAAAAAATTCAAATGAATAACTTATATACTATTATGATATAATTTACTCACCCTCATATCAGTCAATACATGTATGATCTTTCTTTCATTCTTTCTTTCTTTCTTTCTTTCTTTCTTTCTTTCTTTCTTTCTTTCTTTCTTTCTTTCTTTCTTTCTTTCTTCAGTGGAACATAAATGAAAGTATTTGGATGTTTTTTTTTTCTTTCATTCAATGAAAGTAAATGTTCCTTCAAAACATATTTTATTTTCCACACAAGAAATTTAAACCGGTTTGAAAAAGTCAGTAAATTTGTCATGATATATATATATATATATATATATATATATATATATATATATATATATATATATATATATATATATATATATATATATCAATAAACTATTCCTTTAATACAGAGTTCTAAAATGAAATGGTGGAATAATAGGAGACTGAAGAAAAATATTTCAAACCTTTTATATTCACTCACAAACTGGGTTTCCACAAGAAACTTTCTGAAAGCCCTTCAGAGCTCTTTAATGTTGCTCAATAATGTTCTTCTGTTTCTGTTTTTCAGTGTCACGTTCAGGTCAGATTTCTGTCTTCAAAATCCTCAGTTTTCTTCTGGCAGCTTCTCCGTATCTGCTAGCGACAGTCGTGCTGCTTTTCAAATGTTACAGAGCGAGAGGTAAAACCTCTCTCTCTCTCTCTCTCTCTCTCTCTCTCTCTCTCTCTCTCTCTCTCTCTCTATATATATATATATATATATATATTTATAAAACGGTTAGTTCCAATCCTTGATTCTGATTGGTCAATAGCTGTGCTTTATTCACGATAAAACACGGCTATGACCGCTTCACCCAACGGTTCTATGTATCACTACACAACACCCCTAGCAACCACTTTAAGCAACTTAAACAGATGTTTGATCTCATTGATATTGTTCATTTAAAGCTAGAGTAGAGCATTGTGAGAGATCGAGTAAGCGAGTGTACCTGCATTTACAGTAGACGTAGCATTTTCCTTCAGGTCAGTCCTATATTCATAATAAAAAAATGCGTTTGAATTTTTTTACAGTCTATGGTTTGAATGTCCGCTGCATATTTTGTCCTTTTAACAGTCATGGGGTTTTCCCGTGCATAACGTTAGTCATCTGTCAGTTGCGTCTGTCTTCTCCGTGATCACAAGTTCGAGTCCTTTCAAAAGCCTTCTCTACAGACTCACTCACTCATAAAGACAGTCTTTGCCGCCATCTATTGGCGAAATAATATATGTAACTTCTGTTGCTGTTTACGGTCCGGGACTATTTTTTCCAGCGGAAGGCAGGCTTTTAGTGATTTTACTTCATGAAAGTTGCATAGATACATAATTTTCGGCTTTAATATTTTTATTGTGTGGCAACCGTTTTATAAAAGCAATAAGGTACTCGAGGCAAGTGCTGTATCGTGAATAAGTAACGGCTGAAGGGGTTGCAGGCACTCCGCTTCGCGTCGTGCCTAACAACGCCCTCCAGCCGTTACTTATTCACGATACAGCACAGCCTCTCGTACCTTATTGCTTACATATATTCCCTCACTGAAGCAGTTTTTGTGTATTTCAGTTTCATCTTCTGAAGACCAAAGTCAGTACGCCGTAACAGAGGAAGATCCTTCAATCTGATATTAAAGAGTTAATTCTGTCCACATGTTTGAATGTTCTGTCAGCATTTATTTGTCCTTTAACATGGTTTGAAAATATTGTAGTTCGTTTTTCTCATAAGCTTTATATTTGTCATAACCCTGTGTTGTTAATCTGTTCTTCAATAGTGAAAGCTTGACAATGATACTGTTGCTTGTTCTAGTTCGCTTGTTTGAGCAATTATTAATCACACAGTTTTTATTCTATATAAATAACTGTTGAAATAAAGGTGTTTTTCTTGTTTTTTTTTTTTCACATTTGTAAACCATCTAGTTAAAAAAACAAATGTCTTAAAGATTTATTATTCAATTATGACTAAAACATTATATATTTAGTGTCTGTAATTAAACCATTTGAAAGCATTTAGTCATTCTAATTCTTTGTTGACAGTTTCCTTTGTTTTTGACAGCAGTTTATAACAGACTGCAATACTTGCCTCTTATTAGACTATAATCAAATTACTTTGTTATAAATGTAATGGTTTTTTTATAGGCTTGACTAAGAGACTAAAAGAGAAGCATTGAGTAGGCTAAAACTATATAGTAATAATGATTTCATTATAAAGCTCATAATAAATGTTCCTCACAGTGTAAATCTGATCTGTGGTTTGTGGAGGAATATGTGAATGTTGACATGATCATGTCTAAATCCCAGCATTACTGGAGCACAAGTTTCACATCATCCTCCTCTACAGCTGCAGGATCAACAATAGTGTTGAGAGTATTTTCAGGAGCGATGGATCAGAGCTTCAGAATCACTGCGGTCTCAGAAGAGTTTCTGCTACTGTAAAACAGAGAGATGATTGTGGAAAAGAAAAACATGCAAAGCTAAAAGTTGAAAAGGTTTTAAATTTAAAAATTACATTTGCTGAAAAGCAAATGCTGTTAAGAGTGAATTCATTTCATCTTAAAAGAAAAAGATAGGTTTGTAATGCATAAACACAGAAGAACGGATAAAAACTTTTACTTTTGCATTAAAACAATGTCCGATCACACCTCTTTTCACAGATAATATGTGTAGGCCCCTAGCTCTTAAAAGAGCCTTTGTGTTGTGTTGAGCGGACTCGCTCTACTTTGAGCTGGTGTATTTGGTCACAGCCTTTGTGCCCTCAGACACGGCGTGTTTGGCCAGCATGGAGTTTTAAAACATGGTTTTAACCTGTTAAGCTTCAAGCCCATTTTTGAAAAATCCCCAGATATGGCATTCCCAAACTGAAACAGATACAGTTCATGAACCCTTTGTACTAAAAGCACAAGTAAGATCTCATTTGAAAGCTGACACCTGGAAGTTTATTGTAAATGTAGAATTAATTATTGTCATAATGAAAAAAAATAGTTATAAATAGCTTCAAAGTTTTGTAAAGTTATTATACATTTATTTTTATGAAACATCTTCATGAAAATAAAATTGAAGTTGGCATTGTAGCAATCTAGAAATGCACTGCAGCTAAAGCCACATGTCTAACCATGTTATATTTAAAATCTGAAGATGATAAGTCTAAAACTCTGTATTTAGTTCAATGTTTTTCAAGATCATGTCATATGACTTTATTTTGATTAGACTGGTGTTTATTGTCATCTTATAAGCATATTCAGTCTATTGTTTTGTGATGCAAAAACGAGTCCCATTCAGTCTCAGGCTCCCCTGCACATATTCACACCTCTCCAGCCTGTTTATTGCTCTAAATATGCTTTTCTTTTGTCTGCATTATAATCACTAACGACTAGCAATTCACACTCTTTCAATCCCTCATTTATTTTATAAAAGTTCTCACTTCACAGTGAAACTGTATCAAATGCCCTTTTTGAAAAACGAAACATTTCAGTAAGCATTCTTATTTAGAAAAAAAATCATAAAAATTACATCGAAGTTAGGTAGCAGGTGCTCAGTACTAGCTAGCATGTTAGCTTAGCACACCATCAATACACGACAATTTATGAGAATAAAACTATGTTTGTGCTCCAACTTACTTTATAGCGCAAGTCGAGTGTTTTAAATAACTTTCTGTAATCTGATTTGGCTTCAGATAAAAAAATCAGATAGAAAATATATTATTTTATTGTATTCTGCACAATTTGAAAGTCTATCTCGATTAGCATTACATTATACATATAATCTATTATTATGAAAATACCTGACATGACTCGAAGAACACAGGTAAATCAAATATCATTGCAATCATGTTTATTGTCTTCAAAACATCTTTATCTGCACTTTACAGCGATCTCGGATAGCTTTGTTTATGTGTCAGGACTTCCTGAATGTCACATGATTATGGCTCTTCTTCATGTGATCCATATATGGACTTTTCTGTGCAAACAGCGCCCTCAGACTTCAGTATGAATGGATAACACAACTGTACATCAGAGTACAGCGCTCAAAATGATTACATCGACGCATGTGGGTATAAATTCAATAAATATTATTCCTGTCTATAGAAGTCTGATGTAAACCTATGAGAATCTATCAATATTTCTCCAAATCTGCACATGTTTGAGCTAAAAGCCCTGAGGGACGTTGTTTTGTCAAGTGCTGTCATGACGATCGCACGGGAGTTTTTTTCTGAATGAGAGCAGCTGACGCTCATAATTCATATTAAAGGTAACGACTCATTTTTTTATTTCATAACTCCTGACACAAATTAAGACATAACTGTCACTATAAGTTTCACAGAATACAATAGTGGTCAAATACTGAAACTTGAGTCTTATATCGTTTTAATGATGTATAGTTTGTCAAGTTAATCACATTAAATATGATAGTAACTTTGAACTATTTAAAAAAAAAAACGCTTCAGAGCGCCCACGCACTGGTGACGGTTAACAGGTTTTAAGCAAGGTTTGCCAGGGGGGACGGGGATTTCCTTCTGGTCTAAACATCCCTGCTTCTGCTGAATTATTTTAATCCCCACCCTCCTCAGTAATCAATGCTATAGGCTACTTCACCAATAGACCATAACAAATAGGCCTATATCAAATAAAGAAATGCAACAGGCACGTTTAAACGACAAACAATAAAATCAAAACCAAGTTTCAGTTACAGTCCGTTCGTGGTTCCAGTGGCCTTATGCACCACGGCTTTTCAAAATGTCACAAAGCGATTTGAGATTATTTTGAATGAAATATTGAAGTTTATAATCAAGTGTTTTGGCACAGCCACACCAAGTGTCGCTATAAATTGTTCTAAAATCGGGTTTCTGGCGTGCTGAATTAGTGTTCGACAAACGCGGCGGCGCTTTCACTTGGATTTATTTTTCTCATAACAGCTAAAATAAGTTAATAGGCTACTCCGTATTTTTGCCTACTAAATCGTTCAAAACTGTAAAGTTGTATTCATATTAGGCTAACAAAAAAAAAAATAAGTTGTCGTCTCGTCTCTGTCTCCAGGAATTGCGCGTCACAAAAATGAACCGAAAGCCTTGCCTCAGCTCAGTCACGATAAGAAATCGGCTATAGGCTATGTCTAAAGCATTTAAATGTCTAAATATTTAATAAATGTTATCTGATTATGTACTCCATCTGAAACTGAGAGGTACAGAGCATCTACTGAAACATGTTTAGCTATGATGTGAGCGCTTCCCAATGAGGAAAGGAAAAGGCAAGGGGGAAAATCTCGCTCTAATTAAATGTAGGCTAAATCGCCCTGAATTAAAATGTAAAAACAGATCAAATAATTTCTTTGTCGAAATGTTGCGATATTGTTTCATGTAAGTTCATAATTATTCTATAAATGTTATTTAGTTTAACAACTATTCTGGATAGCCCAAAGGTAAAATGTAAAGGATTTGTTGATAAAAAACACTTTATCTTACAGCAAAAATATAAAATGAAACACTTCAAAAAGCCTTTACTGTGAAAACCAGCCATAAATGTCTTAACATAATAGCTTATTGTTCTACGGCATCTTCCTCTACATGCATGTGCTTAAAACTGCAATAAAACTGCTCTTTAAAGGATAATATGAGTGGCTCTTAAAAGAGCCTTTGTGTTGTGTTGAGCGGACTCGCTCTACTTTGAGCTGGTGTATTTGGTCACAGCCTTTGTGCCCTCAGACACGGCGTGTTTGGCCAGCTCTCCGGGCAGCAGCAGACGCACGGCGGTCTGGATCTCTCTCGATGTGATGGTGGAGCGCTTGTTGTAGTGAGCGAGACGAGACGCTTCACCGGCGATGCGCTCGAAGATGTCGTTGACGAAAGAGTTCATGATTCCCATCGCCTTGGAGGAGATCCCGGTGTCGGGATGAACCTGCTTCAGGACTTTGTACACGTAGATCGCGTAGCTCTCCTTCCTGGACTTTCTGCGCTTCTTTCCGCCCTTGCCGGCGGTTTTAGTGACGGCCTTCTTCGAGCCCTTCTTGGGTGCAGACTTCGCTGGTTCAGGCATGATTTCGTTCAAAGAACAATAAAGCTGTGTATCTACAGGCGGGTTTTATGCACTGCTCTATGCTAATTTCAAAAGGGAAGAACAGGCTGTGTGATTGTGAGTCTTCAACCCATATAATGATTTCATTGGCCACGTTAAACATTCATTGACTTGTTGGCGATCCAATCAGAAGCTTTAAAATGTTAACCACGCCCACCGACAAAGACCATCCCCCACATCAACTCCATTCCTTTGTTTATTTTTCCCGAATTGTTTTCCGGAATGAATAAGTGAAATATTGTGAATAATTACCATTCTTTAACGAGGTATGAGGATTCAATATTATTTTAACGTTTATTTAGAAGCAGAAATAGCTAAATCGATGTAAACTCAATGAATTCAATATATTTTCATAATACTGTGAAATCTGAAAGATATGCATATTGGGACCCAGAATTTTCTTTTTTATTAGGAATTTGTCCATTTCATTGCATTGTTTACTTTGCAGCATAAGAAACGAATAAAAAAAAAAAAGAAAACAAATATTTTATTCATGTTATGCCCTCTGATCAACAGGACTCAGTTGTTTAAAAGATAAATGACAAGAAATTATATGTATTGGCAAAAACAATAGGAATTTTGTTTTATTCACCAATAATTTCGGTTTGGGGATTTTTTAACCAAAATGTGTGTAAAGATGATTCTCGGCTATGTTATGAAAGATATAATGTAATGCATACATTTCAGTTCATGCACTTATGCGTGTAAATACGGCCATAAATGCCATTTCCATTTAAAAAAATTGCACAATGCCCACAACTCTTAAATGTAGATTTAACCGCACAATTGTGGGAATAACGAAGTTTCTTAATTTAATTTGCTTAAAAAAAATTCACTATAAGGCACATTCAAGGCAAACAAATAATTTCACCAGCTAGAGTTTGTTCTTTGTGTGTAAATGTGGGTGGCTCTTAAAAGAGCCGTTGGGTTTTTCTTCTTCGTGAGTCTCTTAACCGCCGAACCCGTACAGGGTGCGTCCCTGTCGCTTCAGCGCGTACACAACATCCATGGCGGTGACAGTCTTTCTCTTGGCGTGTTCAGTGTAAGTCACAGCATCACGGATGACGTTCTCCAGAAACACCTTCAACACACCGCGCGTCTCTTCATAGATCAGCCCAGAAATACGCTTGACGCCGCCACGTCGAGCAAGACGACGAATAGCGGGTTTAGTGATTCCCTGGATATTATCGCGGAGAACCTTTCGGTGACGCTTAGCGCCTCCTTTCCCGAGTCCTTTCCCGCCTTTTCCTCTTCCAGACATGACAACAGATGCTGAACTCAGAACAACAGAATGTAGAAAATCACACTGGTGAAGAGCAGTTTATAGTCAGCTAGCGGACCTAGTTGAAACCACATTCATGGGCGGTTCTATTAAACGTCACCAGTTACGCATTTCCGAATCGAGACCAGTCTTTTGATGTTTGACACTAGTGGAAATGAATAGGATTTAAGGAATATTAACTGCATAATGTATTAAATAAAAATAAAATAACTAAATTATTTACCTGTCACTAAATTATATATATATATATATATAACTATGAACATAAAATAATATAACTAAATGTCGTAGCATAACACTAAAACCATCTTTCATTTCCTTTTAGATTATATATATATATATATAAAGAATCTATAAATATTTAGCATCGAAGTATTTAACGATGCCAAAGCGGTTTATTCACAGTAGCCTACAATGGGAAAAAATATCCGTGCAGTGCCATTTGTACATCAATCTAATGCAGCGATTACATCGATTAAAAAGGCTCAGAACACTATATTATTTATTTTATAATATTAACACCGTAGAATAAAAAAAATATTTTTATTTTTATGCTGGGCAGTTAACTTTACCAGTGATTGGATTAATGAAATGACTCTCTCAGGGAGAAATTGTGTGGCTCTTAAAAGAGCCTTTGGTTTGCAGAGAAGCTTCCGTCAGTTTACTTGGCCTTCGCGGGCTTCTCGGTCTTCTTGGGCAGCAGCACGGCCTGGATGTTGGGCAACACACCACCCTGAGCGATGGTCACGCCACCCAGAAGCTTGTTCAGCTCCTCGTCATTGCGCACCGCCAGCTGCAGGTGTCGAGGGATGATGCGGGTCTTCTTGTTGTCCCGAGCGGCGTTTCCAGCCAACTCCAGGATCTCAGCGGTCAGATACTCGAGCACAGCGCCCAAATACACCGGAGCTCCGGCACCGACGCGCTGGGCATAGTTGCCTTTGCGGAGAAGCCTGAACACGGCCGACGGGGAACGGCAGTCCCGCCCTGGAAGAGCGACTCTTGGCCTTAGCGTGAGCCTTTCCCCCGGTTTTACCTCTTCCACTCATTGCTGCTTGAGTTTATTTTTCACCTACTAAGAGTAGGCTATTATAAAAAAAAGTATCCTATTGGCTTAAATCTGAAAACATTCCCATCCAATCAGTTACCTTCCCTCCAAAACCCCTTTCTGCTACTGACAACCTCAAACACGTCACGCTGTAGTGTAATAGGCTTCCTTAATTAAAGACTAATGGGCTTTATTTAAATTTTTATTATAGTAATACTGTCATCAATGTGTCATAAAACAAGTCTAATGAGTCTATATGACAGAAATCATAACTAAGAGTATTTTATTCTCCATCATCCTGTCCAGAAACACAGTTTAGAAATAAAACACACAGTTTACTGACAGTTTACAGTCATCTCTGATCACTGATGCTCTGCAGAATAAAAATAAAAGACTGTCAAAACTCTGAACATTGTGACCAGAAACTGAGACAGAAAGTTCTGACTGTCAGTAATTTCACAGCAGACATACAGCTCTGATTTATACATTCTGTATCATCACTACCAGCTGTTGATGTATTTCTTGTGTTACATGGTGAGGTGATTCTGGAGAGTTCGTTTCGGGTTACTTGACTGTAACCCTGTTCCCTGAAAAAGCGGAACGAGATGCTGCGCTGCTTAGCGCATTGGGAACGTCTTTAATCGTGACCCGCTGTGAATATAGTGTGTAAACACATCGATAGAATCGACCGGAAGTAATATAGCCTCGGTCGGTGACGTCATCGTCGCGCGCCAGCGTGCACTCGCGCACACTCGCGTGCACCCGCGAGGCTATAAATAGATGAGCCGCAGGTGCATCGTCAGGATATTTTGTCTGAAGAGCAGTCCTGGGACATCATCAGCACGGCAAAGTAGCGCAGCATCTCGTTCCGCTTTTTCAGGGAACAGGGTTACAGTCAAGTAACCCGGAACGTTCCCTTTCAAAAGCTACAATCGATGCTGCGCTGCTTAGCGCATTGGGAACGAGAATACCCACGCCGCCGTGCTTGAAGGTGTCTGGACTCCTTACGGTTGTATAGGTGTGCTCACAAGAACGCAAGAAAGCCCTAGACATTAGCTTGTGATGTCGACTCAAGGACATGAGAGCCCGGAGTGGCATGAACATCTAAACTATAAAACCTTATTAATGTGTGCGGAGAGGACCAGCCTGCCGCATCACAAACATGCTGTAAGGGGGCACCCCTTGCCAAAGCAGTAGAGGAGGCGACTCCTCTGGTGGAGTGAGCCCTTAGACCCGTTGGTGAAGCTTGGCCGCGCGCCTCATAGGCAAGAGCAATAGCATCCCTGACCCAATGTGACATGGTCTGTTTAGTAGCGGCAGCACCCCTGTTACTGCCCCCATAACAAACAAATAGTTGCTCTGACTTACGCCACTGGCTAGTACGGTGAACGTAGGCCTGAAGAGCATCTCTCCTGCTCCAGCGTTGTGAACGGTGGAGGGCAGAAGGCCTCAAGAGTGACCGGATGTACAGCTGAAAACGGTACTTTAGGCAGGTAATCAGGATGAGGATGCAAAATCACTTTCACCATTCCTGGGGCAAAGTCTAAGCAGGATGGCGATATTGACAGAGCCTGCATATCCCCGATTCTTTTTAGAGAGGTTATAGTCATAAGAAAAACCATCTTTAGGGTCAGAAGTTTGTCAGACGCTGACTCTAGAGGTTCGAAGGGGGTCTCAACCAGACCCTCTAGGACTGTAGCTAAGTCCCATGAAGGGATCTTGGTTCTTACGGGAGGCCTCAGTCGTCTGGCCCCACGAATGAAGCGAGCGAGCAAAGGATGTCTCCCAAGTGGCACCCCGTCAACCAAGGCGTGGCAAGCCGAAAGAGCGGCCACATAAACCCTGAGAGTGGCGGGGCATGTGCCTGTTGATAATTTTTCCTGCAGGAAATCCAGAACTGAAGCAATCTGGCAGTTGACCGGATCTGCATTATGTAAAACACACCACCTTTCAAAAACACCCCATTTGTTGGCATAACTCTTTCTAGTGGAGGAAGCCCTAGCACTTAGAATAGTCTCAATAACGGCAGGCGAAAGCCCAGTGTCCCTCAGTTGGTACCCATCAGGGGCCAAACATGAAGGTTCCACAGGTCGGGGCTGGGATGGAATTGTGCCCTCTGCCTGGGACAGAAGGTCCCTCCTCTCCGGAATCGCCCATGGCGAGCCGTTGAGGAGAGATATTATCTCCGAGAACCACATTCTGTTCGGCCAACGCGGCGCTATCAATAAGAGGCAAGACCCTTGCTGGCGAACTCTGGCTAGAACTCCCGGGAGCAGAGCCACTGGAGGAAACGCATACAGGCGCATTTTGGGCCATGTGTGCGCCATCGCATCCAGACCCAGGGGGGCTGGGTGACTCAGAGAGAAGTAGAGGGGACATTGCGCTGTCTGATGGGAGGCGAAGAGGTCCACTTCCGCTTTGTAAAATCTGGTCCAGATCTGATCGACTACTTCTGGGTGGAGTTTCCATTCCCCCGTCAGCAGTTTCTGTCTGGACAGTAAATCTGCTCCCACATTCTGGTGCCCAGGGATGTACACTGCCCTGAGTGACAGGAACTTCTCCTGGGCCCAGAGGAAAATCTGCCTCGCTATTTTGTTCAGATTGCGTGAGCGCAGACCTCCCTGGTGATTTACAT